TACCACTGAGCTAAACCCTGAGCCCGAATTTCCACCATTTCTGCTTTATTATGTTCATGTGAGATACTAAGTTCTGCATACATCCTGATAGAAAGAAATTAAATCATGTTGGTTATTTGAGACTTTGCCATGGTGGGAATACTTGCATCATGAGACTCAGCAAAAACACTGAAATCAATCCATTTCCCACCAGAGAGCTGTTAACCATTTTTCTAATATACAGCTGGACAGATGTAGAGCTTCATGATCACAGAATTTCTATGGGGTAGATAGATTGGAGACAGCGCTCTGGAATACAGGAATAAAAGTTACATACATAGAAAAGTCCCTGAACTTGATGAGAATAGAAGTGAAGCTGGAGTAGGGGCTGTAGGAGTTTAAATACACAAAAACAGATGTCTAGAAGTGACATTAAAAAAAAGTCAGCACTATCTCTCTCAATGCCTTTTTCATGTTTGTACATGTATTTCAAATATGGTCTACATGTTGAATTCAGCTGTGGGTATATAGACACATTAAAGACTTGGCATTTTTATTTTAAAATAAAGATATTTTAAAATTCCACCATCAAGATGAATAAGCACATACATGTCTATGAAGCCACAAAGGAGTAATGCATGATCCAGAAAAACTCATTAGTGCAAAGACGAAGTGTTAATTCCATTGAATCAATCAATGCCTTAGAGTATGTGGCATGACATCTATTGGTTTGTGGGATACCATTTCAAAATGCAAACTTGCAGAACCACAGCATTTTAGATTCGCAAAAATCTAATAGTCCTTAGCAAATACTAATATATGCATCATTATTTCTTAGAGCATGGGTTGTGGTTTGAATGAGAAATGTCCCCATAGGCTCAAGCATTTGAACACTTGGTCCCCACTTAGTGGCTCTGTTTGGGAAGGCTGTGAAACCTTTTGGAGGTTGAACCTTACCAGAGGAAGTGTATCAGTGGGCCAGGGGAAGGCTTTGAAAGTTCGTAGCTTTGCTTACTTCCAGTTATCTCTTTCTGCTTCCAGCAGGTGGATGGAGATAAGATCTCTCAGCTCATTTCTCTGGCCACCTTAGCCACCTACTGCACAGAGTGGCCTCTCCCTGGGGAAGTGTAAGCCAGAATAAACTTGGTTCTGTAAGCCTCTTCTGGACATGCTATTTTATCTCAGTAACAGAAAATTAACTAATGCAACACATTGGTCAATCAAATATTAAAATTTGAAACCCCTCCTGTCCTTTTGGTTGTTTTTAACAGGGTCTCACACATAGAAAAGTCCCTGAACTTGATGAGAATAGAACCTAGGTTGCTTTCCAACTCATTGTAGTGGATACTAGGTTGACACTCTTGACTCTCCTGCCTGCCTTCAGTCCCAAGTGCTTGCATTACAGGCATATGCCACCATGCTTGGTTCATTTCCTGCTTAAAATCAAGAACATTAAAAATGTCTTTTAAAAAGATTTTAATGTTTTTTAAAATTTAATTTATGTGCATTGGTGTGAGGGGGTCAGATCCCTTGAAACTGGAGTTACAGACGGTTGTGACCTGCCATGTGGGTGCTGGGAATGGAACACAGGTCCTCTGGAAAATCAGTCTGTGCTGTTAATCACTGAGCCATCTCTCCAGCTCCTGATTTTAATATTTTTTTTATGTGTGTGACTGCCATGTGTATGCAAGTGCCCAAGGAAGTCAGAAGGGGGTGTCACATCCCCTGGAGCTGGAGTGGTAAATAATCATATAACACCTGACTTGGGTGCTGGGAATCCAACTCAGGTCTTCTGGAGGAACAGGATGCATCCTTAACTACTGAGCCATCTCTCCAGACCCTAATCCAAGGATGAATATTATTAATGCCTGACTCATGGAAGCTTGAAAGCACATGTATTTAAATATGTACTTATATATTTATATAATACATAAATATTATATTTATATACACATATATATACACACACATACAAATATTTGAGAACTTAAAACAATGTCATTCATATTATTATTATTATTATTGTTGTTGTTGTTTTAAGTGTATATATGTTTTGTCTACATGTATGTCTGTATACCCTGTGTGTGCCTGCTACAGGCAGAGAAAAGGAGGGGGCATTGGATCCCATTGGACTATAGTTACAGACAGTTGTGAGTTATTATGTGGATTCTGGGAATTGAACCTAGGTCCTCTGGAAGAGCAGCCAGTGCTCTTGTTACTGGGCCATTGCTCCAGCCCCAGCACATACATACATTCTGTAAATTACTTAGGTGGTTCTCCTATACTCAAACACTAGAGAATGGATAATCTAGTCAACTTTTGTAACATATTAGGGCCATAGGCATCTAAGATGTATGGGAATTCTTCAGGCAATGTCATATAGATAGTATAATCCCACATTTTTCTCCTTTAAAATAAAAACAAAACAAAAAGTACCTCATGGCCCATCAAGGTGACAATAAAAAAAAGTCAGCCAAGGAACAAGATAGGACTTCAATGAGAGGGTGTTGCTTGTGTGTAGTTACTAGTCAATACGTCCCCACCCAGCCACAAATTAGTGAGGTTGCTGTAAATTACTGACATGCAAAACTTAACTCTATAATTTTAAAGTCATTGGTTTTAGCCCTCTGTTTTCTTTTCTCTGGTTTTCCAAGGTCACCCTTGGGGGAATGATTTTTAGCAATGTAATTATAACTCTGGTTTCAAACTTCTGAACTAAGTAATCAAACACAGGCTGCCCATAGTGGGAACCATGGAGGCTTTTTGTTGTTGCTGTTTTTCCTAAAGCTCTGTCAACCTGAAGGAGGATTTTGGATGGCAGCATTCCTCCCCAAATGTCCCCTACCTAGATTGGTGGTAGGGGAGGTGTCTAACTGGACTACATGCCAGCACTGGGGAACTTGGAGACAAGAGACCAGGAGTTTAAGGCTAGTCTCAGATGAGCCTGGGCTACATAAGACCCTGTCTGAGGAGAAGGAAACACAAACAAACAAACAAACAAACTGTGCTGCTGTGGAAGATTTGACACAGGGATCTGAAGCTAGCCTTCCTGCTGGCATCTTGCCAAGCATGCCTGTTTTTATTTGTTTCTTTCTTTATTCACTTTTAATTACACGCTTAAGGTAAAGTGGGCTAGCCTTGAACTCTGTCTTCCTGCTTCCGGCTCTTGAATTCTGGGAGGATGGGTCTGGGAGGATGGGTGTGCACTATCACGACCTGACTTTTCCTTCCTGTTATATTTTATTTATATGTGTGCATGCCCCTATTTACTTATGCTCAAGGAGACCAGAACTGGCATCTGATTCTCTGGTGCTGGAGATGCAGACAGTTGTGATTCCCTGCTTGTGGGTTTTGGGAATTGAACTTGGGTCCTCTGCAAGAGTATTGTGTGCTCTTTACTGTGAAGCCTATCTCCAGCCCCTGAAACAGTAATATTGATTTGATGACCTATTGTTGAAATTCTCAAGATGAGCTGATGCCTACAATGGCTGCCTTCTTTGGTTTATGGTTGTTTCCTGAATGGGTGACAGACAATTTTTAGGTGCCTTATTCGCCAGTGCCACTAATATTTGGTGCCTTAGCTCTGGCACTCCAGTTATGATTACTCAGGGGTGGAGGGTGGGATGGGGTGTGGGCAGGGCAGCCACATCTGCCACAGGTCTACTTTTGAAGGCAGTGGGCCTTCTTAGAGCCACAGAAGCCACACAACCCGTCAGTCTTATTGGTGTCACTTTCCAAGCCACTGAGTTCCCTTTGTCATCTAGCTGCTTGAGACCCGAGTTTGGAAGAGAAGGGACATCCAGTCAGTGTTTCATGCTCCACAAAAAAAAAAAAAAAAAGAAGTTATTTATAGATATGGATTCCCTTCCAGGTGACAGGTTTTATTCAGGACAGCATATTATTAGAAAAGGTCCATCATGAAACATTGCCCAGCTGGTGTGCAGTCTTTCTTTTTGGTGGCCATGCCCAACGGATTATTTATTCAGATCCACGCTGTTGTTAAATCCAAATGGCAAACTTTGCAGAACAACATCTGCTGCAGATGTTGCAAAAATCCAAGTCCTGCCCAAGGGTGGTCATTTAAGCCCTGTTTTTACATTTTCACAGCCACTTAGTGAAAGGATGCTATTTGTCTGTATTTCCTGCATTACAGGATTTAATCATAAGACCAAACCAAATCCTTTGTCTAATTCATGAGCAGAGCCTTATTTTGTGTTTTTCAGGGTGTCACACAAGATGACTGATATAGGTCCTGCTTGCAAAGGACACTGTTCTGCCTCGCTCTTCGTTGTTGTTTTTCCTAGAAGGACATAGGAATATGTCTAAATGTAATTATAATAAGACAGTATCTGTAAATTAGTAGAAAGCATCTTTGAATCAAAATGCAGTGTTCTGATTTCTAGCCAGACCCTGCTGTGATGAAATCACAACCCTTAAATTTTCACTATTGAAGAAATGGTGATCAGGGAGAGAAGGCAGTAGCTGGTTGCTTCTCAACCCCACCCTGCTTTCTGATGCATCCAGGTAGAAATCCTAGAGATGCTACTTAAAAGGCTCTACTAACAACCCAAGAATGTGCTTTCTACAAGCATGGTCCTGGGTCATGGTTCTCTTTCATTGACAACAGCCTTCCCGGGAGAAGGCTTTAGCTGTTATTCCACCTGCATGGTCCCTGGCGCCATTTGGCTTTTGACGTGGGTCTGAGCCAAGGAATAACGCCAGCATCAC